GAGACCGACGAGAGCGCTATGCAAGCCGCCCCTCGCCGATCCAGACTGGAAATTTCGATCAAAGCTACACAGGTCGGGTCGTCTTTCTAGAGAGGAAAACGATTTTTTTTTGGGGACCCCGACCGACCTTAAATATCCAGATTTGAATACTCTCTTCGTTACGTATGTATTAACTCCCGTCAATTATATTAACTAGGTGAGAGCCCGCGCATATGCCCGGGTTTTGGTTTATATCGAAAATTATAAAATTGTCTATTTTTTTTAACATAGTACCAATTTTATTTTGGTTTTTAATGGTAATTGGATTGTGTAGTTGCTTATGAGACATAAAAATGTTTATAACTACAACTGAGGTTAAATTTTATTTTTATTTGTATGGAACGTAAGTAGTAAGTATATATTGTTTAAAATCGAGAGTTTCATTAAGAAACTGTGAATAAGTAACTACCTTTCTTGGATGATATTACAATGTTCTTGTAATTCTGTGTGTAACACTGTTTTTATATAGTACTAGGTGAGAGTCCGCACTATGTGTGGGTTTTGTTTTATTCGAATGTTATGAAATTATGATTGTTCAATTTTGTAAAAGTTGATGCAGATTAATATATCGTTTGTTTGTTAAATGCTGCATGTTTGGAAACCATTCGGAAAGAGAGACGTAAGAACATTTAAAAAAAATATGACGGTAATACTATGGATTCGAGAGTTTCCAATCAAATTAAAATAATGTGATTAATTATAACTAAATTAGTTATCATTAAATATTTGAACAACTATGAAAAAGCTAATGATATATTACCGTATTGTAATATTCGAATGTTTGAAACTTGATGTGACGATATTACTATATGAGAAATTAAAAAAATGCCACTTTTCAAGTACGACCTTTAAAAAAAAAATTACATTATATCATTTATGTTTGGATTAATTATGTTGTATTATGATTTAGTTTTGAAGATTTTAGGGGTTTCAGGGGGTCAAAACATTTTTTAGGGTTTATAATTTTAAGATTTAGGCTTTAAAAATCTATAATTAGTGATATTTTTGCAAATGGACATCCCTAAGTGGCATTTTTCCAAATGTATACACCATAAGTGGTATTTTGCAAGCAAGAGAAATTTCAAAAAATGCCACTTTTCAAGTGCCACTTTACAAAAATGACACACTTTTGAATTCTTTACAAAAATGCCACTTTTTCAAACTTATTTTTTCTTTATATTATTTATGTTTGGGTTAATTATGTTCTATTAGGGTTTAGTTTTGAGTGTTTAGGGGGTTTGAGGTGTCAAAACATTTCTTAGAGTTTAGAATTTTAAGATATAGGCTTTATAAATC